AAGGTGCGTTTCTATCAGTCTTCCTACCATTATGACCAAGTTGCGAAAACAAGGTCAAACAACTTCTGTAGCTCCTTTGTCTGCCTAAAGTACTAATTGTTCATTCTTTTCCAGGGTTTTGTTCATCACGGCAAATCTGTTCCTGTGTGTAGGCTCCTGATGTGTCAAGATCTTTGTAATTAGTTCCATCTCAATTTCCCGTTTTGTATCCTCATGGAACTTGTCGGTGATATTGATAACCTCCACCAGGATGTCTCCTAGACGGCTTCTGTTATGTTGAATTTAAAATTGAGTCCTTTTTCCAGGAACGCGGTTGTTTCGTGATTGAGGGGAATTTATAATAAGTTTAATACATTATTTCGATCGCTATGCTGATCAGTAGGTGTTGTCACCTCGGAAACCACTTCAATTTGGCGTACTGGCTTTAATTTAGGCTGTTTTATAATCCCAAACGTACGCAATTTATAGAAGTGTGACCATACCAGAGGCCACAACATCTTGGTCTTCATATCTTCAATTAGGCAATTCATTATATGAACACCAGGATGCTGTGGCCTTTTGTATGGCCGCAGTCTCATTTCGTTGTTTAGAAGTTGTTTGACCTTGTTTTCGCAACTTGATCATATTGGTAGGAAGACTTAGCGGAACGCACCTAGTCCGAAGTCCATTGTATGCATGATCATTTCCAGAGTAGTACCGTGGACGTGGTACTTTCCCGGACGTTTCACCGGCATCGTAGTCGGCATCGTCAGTTAGTCTCGCCATTCGTAGTACCATAGTACAGCTTGTCAAAGAGACAAGTGAAGCCCATCCTTTGACCAAACGTCTGCTAAACAGTTGTGGTTTCTCCCCTTCTAATTGGGACAGTAAAGGCGTGATAGGAGGATGTACGAAATGTGAATAGCCCAGGGCAGAAGGGAAGATATCACAACTGTTTAGCATACGTTTGTCAAAGAATGGGCTTCACTTATCTCTTTAACGAGCTTTACTATGGCGCTACTAATGACGAGACTCACTGACGATGCCGACTACGATCCCAGCGAAACGTCTGGGTATGTACCACTTCCACGGTCCGACTTTGAAAATGATCATGTATACAATGGACTCGGGACTAGTTACGTTCCTCTAAGTCTTCCTACCAATATGACCAAGTTGCGAAAACAAGGTCAAACAACTACTTTTACGCAATTTATTTTCATGCCGTTTTGTTATTAAGTCAGAAATTTTTACGTGATTTCCTGTCGGTCATGCTCTGGAGTTTTCGACAGTCTTCCGCAGACAGGATCCTAGCCAGATCATGCCGGAGCTTTGGCTTAATATCTATAAACTTGAAGAGCTTATTGCTCTCTGTAACATAATTCTCACTTAGTTTATGAATAGAAACCTGGTGGATATAGTCATTAATCTTATCCGTGTGGTAGGGTTTCTTAAGGTCTTTTAAGTAATATTTAGTTGGATCGTAACGCCTACCCATCTAATTATGGGAAAATTCACTATCACTGATTTTGTACTCTAAGCGACCTAGCTTAACCAAAGCTCTCATTAACGATTTTTTCCAATATCATAGGCGCGGAGACTCATGCCTCAATATTTCTTTCATCAGTCGGTTCTTTCTACCAGGATGACTCATGTACATGCATTCTGCATTCCATCTCTAACATAAATATTATTTGTGTTCGTCCCTAGTTGTACATAATCTCTCTCCTTGCAACACTGGTAATATGTTTATTTAAAATATTTTTCATAATTGTTTTTTAATATTTTAGCATTAAGTCTATTTAAGGCATCACGCTCCACTGATAATGTTGTCCGCATCATCGAAAAAAGGCTCAGGGATATCTTTTCCCTTCTGATGAATCGTAACATGTCTCCGTTTCTCGAAAACTTTTTGACCATTTACTCCAAACAAAGTCCATCGGTCTTTCTAAAATATAATTCTAGCATCAACATTTGCTTTAGTTTCGGTATTTATTTGTAACATTATACCTCCTAATTTGCTTATCCATATGGTTAACCCAGTACGAAATGATGGTTCTCTATTCGGATTTCTATGACTATTCTTCCGCCTTATTTATTCGTTTTATTCACGCCTTCAAATTCGTCATACTTAATCTAGTAAAGTTTAATATTTTTAAACCCATTCTTTTCATATGCACCCATCCCTCTTCATACCTACAACTTGTTTGTTGGCACCGGGCCTTGTTTCATGCCTCACTGGCTGATAGAACCGAAAGTAAACTCACATATTTTAGAACTGGCCGACATTGTTATTGCAATTATGTTAACCATACACAAGGCGTGAGCTGAAACATTTGCATGCACACTTTATGGACTTCAGCCTGTGATCGTGAGTATGTCTTTATGCGCAACTAATTTTATCAGTAAGCAGATTAATTTTATCTATTTAGAGGCATACATTTTCGACGGTTGTTTCTTAATCATTATGGACTGAAATTGCTATAGTCTCGCGAATTTTCATAAATCTAAGAGTTAGCTATTTTGATGCCTCGCAAATGATAAAACCTATACTGAGGACTATTATACAGTATGAAATATGGGTAAAGATTCTGAGAGCCTAACATTAAGCAATTAGTTGAAGTTCTTTGCTCAAAGGGGGCCATTGTTTTAAGTGTTAAAACGAATCCTTGAATTTATTTGGTGACTTTATAACTTATCTCAAATAGCATGCATTCACGATCTAGAATGGACATCATACTTTCAATATAATCACATATATAAGCTTTGATAGGTTAAACTAAAAGGTCAGGGCGTTTGATATCAATTCTTCAATCAAATTATAATAAGGAAGATATTATCAGAGGTCTATATACTCACAATTATAAATAAGCGTGCGCCAATAAAAGCAAAGACGACTATGGCAACATTGTCACCATTTTTTTGTCAAAACAACATTTTCCACAGCACAATTTTCTATACCATTTCAAAATCTCCAAAGCTATATGTGTGACCTCTTTTGATTTCCTTCTCACCGTCATGACCTCGAGGAAGTATAATAATCGGACTCGGTTCTCCATTTCAGTGGCTGCCAGCTGATTTTTATCTTTTATATTAATTAGATCTCATGGTTGTATCATGTTGGCTAAATGTTCTAATGATGCTATAAACAAATTGATACTGATTTTCCCTATACTTTCAGAACGTATGCCGAGCTTTTCTATTGGTTATGGCGCTTTTATAAAACACTCGGTAAATACTCATCACAGGCTGTAATATAACCAAAATGCCTGTGTTCACTGAGTTCGTGTACGAATAATTATTTACTTATATTATGCTGAACCGCAGAATAATAATATTTTAGTAGAATCTTAAATTAAAATAATAATTTTTTAGTCACTGGTATTTTTTTACCAAATTTTTATCGGCAAATATTAGCTTGCTCTCTCTACAATTATTTAGGAAGTTGAGAATCGAGAAAGATCTACTTTTATATGTCTGCCATGGTCCAATGCTACCCAAATCAAAGAAATTTCTTCTTAATTCCTTGTCTAGCCTAAAAAAAGTTAGTATATCAAATAATTAATTTAGGATGATTGCAATCAATGAGCATTGCACCCATCTTGTTTGAAATAGCCTATTTTTGCTTGAAGGTGAATGCAACTTTGATTTTAGGTCTCTTACACCTAGCTAGGGTTTTTACTCATTCGGAAGACTTTTCAATTGCTTTGAATGGAATATTTCCACCGGAAAATTTTATCCGTCTTTGAGTATTAATGCAATCACTACTAATTAGAGTCCACAAACACAAGAACAAGGCGTTGACTAACCATGTACTGCCTTAGTTACTCCATTTACGAATCATATCGAAGTATATGATTTGTAATTCCTATCAAAAATAAAATTTCTTTTTTCCATATTCATCTGCACATCACAAGAAAATGAATCCACGTGATTGTTTAAGTGTTTACTCATTTTTGTGTGTGTTACAGGAAAAGCTGCATTGATGAATAAATAGAGGAACATTTACATAACAATTTCTAAGCTGGCCGAACACTGCTCTGAAAATATATAGAAGACTGGAATGTAGAATCAGTGATATTTCTACATTATTTCCTGCATAGCTGGTAGCTATCCATTTATATGTCCTGAATAAATTGGCTAGATATGTTCATAAAATAAGTACAAACTCAGAACTTCATCCTAACTTATTCCCTAATCATACTTACGGGGTCAAAGTAAGGGCTATCAAATCACTGATAGTGAAAAGTTTGTGTCTAGCAGACGTAAATCACCATTATAAAGAAAAGTTAAGAATAATTTAAATAAAGAAAAAATAGTCATTAGGATCAATTGTAAAGTATTTTACAATGTAACACATTGAATGAGATGCAACAACTACTAAGGGAAAAATAAGGAATTGGAAAACTGTTGCGCAATTCTGCCACCTTATTAAAGAAATAGACGAACTATTGAAAAAATGGAACTTCAGGATCATGCAGTAAGAGAGACTAACACTTTTGTTCTGCATGCCTTTTTTATGTTATCTTCTCGTTCTTCTGCACATCCAGTTGATATAAGGTCTTGTACTCATCATAGTGAATTTCGACCTCCACTCGATAGGTTACTCGAACAGAAAACCATCTGCAGAGGCTTATATGCCCAGAAACCAGAGGTGGCTCAGCATATGTTTTATATAGGATATCAGCTAGAGTGATCTAAAACCCAAAATTTTGCTGAAACTGGAGACTTCACAGCTAAGTGAAAGATTATGGAGTCAATTAAGATCAACAAAGCAACAAGTATTATGTATATCAACTTAAGAACTACATCTGGCTATTGGATAGAATTAAAGAGAAGGATACAAAGCAAAGACAAGTTTAGATAAGCTGGATTCATGTTTGGGCTCTAATATCTCAAATAATTCACACACACAGTATACATTCATCTATAAATCTAAAGCATACATTAGCATTGTAAGATCCAGCACCTTTTATCTATATGGAAAAACAGCTTAAACTATATTCTTATCCTTTTCATACATAAAATTAGCTCATCTGCAAGCACCTTAAGTAAGAATGAAGTTGCCAGCAAAATTGTGGAATGCCCTGTTGAGATAGTAAAAGTTAGCAGATGAAGCAAATGTACACCTTTCTTAGTCCACTACTTTGGGGAATTCCTTCGTAAATGATAGTTTGTCTCTGGCGATTTTTGTAATAAGGCATACAAAAGTTTACCGCGAGTTCATCAGAGCTGTAAGACGGTGAACGGATGCCTCCTTCACATAAGCCAATGATCAACATTTCAAGGCAATCCTTCAGTCTCTGATAAGGCCATTCGTCTTTTCAAACGAATAGAAAGGTGTGCCGCCATCATTGTGATTTAATTTCATTTTCCACGTTGAAGAATTAGCTTTCGTTAATTTTTATAATACTACTGTTATGGCGGTATACTTGAGCATCTACAGATAGTAGACGAGAAAATGCCGTACAGAAGCATGACTGCACAACATACAGCATAATACATCCTTTATCCCTTTCTTGCTTTATTATTCTCTATATTTATTTATTAAAGGTTCACTGAACGTATTACAATTCTTCTCGTCGTCCGTTTTCCTAATCCAGTCAAGATTCTCTTGGAATATTGATCATGAAATTGCACAGCTTATACATTTTCCCATTGTTTTACTATGGAATTCCCCACCATATCAACGATACAATGTAGATATTCATAGTACTTGCATTTTGAGACATCAGTAGGTCCTGCATATGAATTTTAGTCACCCTAGGCCACCTAAAATGGTGAAGCTCTGATAGTTGAAT